ACAGTACATAACAACAGCAACATCTTTTTTGTACAAATAGGGAAGTCAAATAGTGTTTAAGTGACTTGAAGTTACACCATGGTAAAACATACTAGAGATGGTAATATATGCCAGGAAGAGTTTACAATTGTTTTTCCTATGTTGACTTTAAAAAATAACTGGCCTTAAAGCAGAGGAATGCAAAAATTAAGGGTGAGAATTAAGCACACTTTAACAATATATGAACATTTCTTGTAAATCTGTCATTGAAAATATAAAGAACAAAGCCATCTTTGTGCATCTTATATATCATTGAGTTAAATCTGATTTATAGCTCACCCTTCAGTGGATTTTCAGATGCAGAAATTGTATGAGAGATTGACCATCTTTTTCCTGTGGGACAGCTAGTGAATTTGAGCTGCATGTCTTTGTTCTGACAACACAGCTCCTAACCATGAGGCCACCAGAGTTCTAGTTGGCTGCAAGACAACAGCAAAACAATTTCTAAAAAATGATAGAATACTAACAGGGATTTTAATTATTTAACACTTATTGTCTACCCCTTATTTAAATGAAATAAAGTTCTATGGTGGCCTAGTGGTTAAGTGTCGACTTCTATAAGGAAGCTGCATGGTTCCAACCCATCATCTACACCCTAGAAAAAAGATAGGCCATAATCTTCTATAAATATTTGCAGCCAGTGGCAGGAAGAGGCATAGTGTGGTGTAGTAGAAACAGTATTTTGAGGGAAAAACTTCTGTTTAGATACACTACATGGGGCCTCTTAAGCTCAAACAAAATGGAGCAGGACAGATCAAGCAGCTCAAGTGGAGACACAGTTCCGGAAGAGAGCAGCAGGCTTCCTGGTTTCTCATTCAGGTACTTTGTGGGAATCACTGCTGTTTAGTTACAACAAATGGGACCTCTTAAGCTCAAGAGGAAGGGAACAAGACAACTCGAGCAGCTCGAGAGAGGTGAAGATGCCAGTTCTGGAAGGGAATAACAGGCTTCATAGTTTCCCATTCAGGTACTTTGGGAAAATCACTGCTCTTGGGACCGAGGTCCACAAGAAGGGAGCACAAGTATACAGGTCCTTCAAATAAACGTTACAATACTCTATATACACTATACTATATATACTATAGTTATAACAACTTAACGCTTAATAAGAAAAAAAACCCATCGCATAATGTCAAGAAAGCAACAGTCTACTTCAGTAATCAAGAAAAACACACACAAAAAAACCAAAACCCTTCTTCTAAAATGCAGACACAAAGAATACCCCAGATACAAATAACTAGAAGAAATATGTTGATTTGTGGTTATTTAAAATGATGTAAAAGATGAAAGAAACAATTAAGATAATGCCCAAGAGACAATAATCCAAAAGAAATGAATTGATGATAAGTAACTTGAACAGCTACAGAAAGACAAAAAGCTAAAGATGGAAGAAAGAATTGATAGTATAGATAAAAAGTTACAAAAATTTAAAAAATCATCACAATACAGAAAGAGTAGAGCAAACATAATACAGGAAATAACAGAAAGCATGAAAATGCAATCCAGAATATTAAGACAAAATTGGCAGAAGTGTCCAAGGAAATCAAACCTATCAAATGGGGAAATGACGTCTTTGACAAATGGTGCTGGAAAAACTGGATTGCTACCTGCAGAAAGCTGAAACAGGATCCACATTTCACACCATATACAAAAATCACCTCAAGGTGGATCAGAGACTTAGCAGTAAAGTCCAAAACCATAAAGTTGTTCATAAGGGAAAAACAAGGATCAAGCTTTGAAGGCCTAGTCTATGGTATGAAGAGACTGCCAAATACAGTCAGAAGTGTACAGTTTGTTGAATGGGACTTTCTAAAGATTAAATCTGTGTGCATCAAAAACGTTTTCCAACAGGGCAAAAAGAAAACCTACAGACTGAGAACAAATATTTGGCAATACCATGCCAGAAAAGGGTCTCAAAATGAAAGTTTATAGGATATTCCTGGGCCTCCATAAGAAAAATATTGATAGCCCCAATTACAAAATGGGCAAAAGACATGGAAAGAATTTTCACAGAGGAAGCTATGTGAATAGTCAACAGACACTTGAAGAAATGCTCAAAATCACCGGTAATAAAGGAGATGCAAACCAAAACCACAATGAGATATCATCTCACTCCGGTAGCTGTAGCAAAGTTTAATAGGGCAGCAAATAATAAAGTTGGACAGGATGTGGCAAAATAGGAATTATTTTACATTGTTGGTGGGATTATGCAATGGTACAACCATTCTGGAAGGCTGTTTGGTATTTCCTCAAAAAGTAGAACATAGAAATTCCATATGACCCAGTTAGTCATTCCACTGCTTGGAATATGCCCTGAGGAAATGAGAACTGAGGCATCAATGGAGACTTGTACATCAGTGTTCACAGGAGTATTATTCACCATTGCAAGAAATAGAAAACAGCCCAGATATCAAACCACAATTGAATGGATTGAGAAGTTATGGTGTATTTACACAATGGACTAATACGTAGAATGGAGGAGCAATTATTTTTTAAATTACTACCTAACTTGGGATGGACTGGAAAGCATTATACCTACTGAACTAACTCAGTCTCATAAAGACAAATACTACATAAATCCATTATTGTAGAATGAGTATGAGGATTCATGGAGGGAAAGGTATAATCAGAAGGGTGAGGATGGGCGGGTGGGTTGCATAATTTGATGGA